TAAAACAAGACGAATAAAAATATTATTATTTTAGTAAAATTTATTTTTAAATATTAATTTTAAATTTATAATTTTTAATATAACTTAATAATTATAAAAGCTTATAATTTTAATTATTATAAAGTTAGTAATTTATTTATAAAAATTAATATTTCCTGCTAACAAAACAAAATCAGCAAAAAAAAATAATTATCAAAATATATAATTAAATTTTATTAGCTAATTATATAGGGGTATACAATTACTATAATTAGTTTTTAAGTTTTTACTCTTATATACTTATTTTATAAAAAAATAATATATAAATAGTTCTGGCTAATAGAAATTTAAAGAAAAAATTAGTAAAATCATTTTTTAATTATTTTATTTTATATTGGTATTAGATTTTAATATATGTTTTGTAGTTGTTTAACTAAAATAATAATATTTTTATTCGTCTTGTTTTATTATAAACTTGAATTAGCCAGATTAATATTATAACTAGATTCTTAAAATTCTTAAAACTTAAATTTGGTTTTTAAAAGATCAGCTAATTTTTATTTGTTCTTATCAGGTTATAAACTTGAATTAATCAAATTAATAAAGTTATTACCTAATACGTATAAATGTTTCAATTTTAATTAAAAATTTTAATTATTCGATACTTCATTTATTCACAATAATTACTTATAATGATTAATATTGAAGATTATATAGATAACCATGAAGCAAATTTATATGATTTATTTGACTATTTCGATCAGTTTGTAGAAAGTTTAAAAAACAAATATACAATTCTTAATAAACTTCCTACTGATTCTTATCCAATTAAATCTGATATTAAACGGGGTAAATCTGTTGATGGAGAAGAATATTGTATCCCTTTTAATACAGATATTAATATATGGATTAAAGAATTTGAAATGTCCACAGGAGCTACTTATAATAAGCGAAAAACTGAACATATTGAAAAAAACAATACTACACGTATAATTTACCAATGTCATCGTGCTGGTATTTATAAAAGTATAGCAGGCCAAAATTTACAAAAAAAATCAAGACCTAATCAAAAACAATCTAAAAAATGTGATTGTAAATCACAAATTATAATCACTAAAACAAATTCTTTAAATAATTGTCAAACAGTAATAAAATATACACCACATACAAACCACTTTCCTGGCCAAGATAATGATATTGGAACTTTAAAGCTATCTGATGAAGTTCGTACTTGGATTGCAGAAAGACTTAGAGATGGTTTAAATATTAAAGGCATAAATCAAATTTTAAAAAAAAAATCGCGGGAAATGGATAATATCTGGACTAATCGTAATCAAGAAACTGCTGTCCTTATTAGAGATTCTCTTGTAACACGAGATGATATTTATAATATATGGAAAGACGTTGCATTAGAAGAACAAATTAAGCATAAATCAGAACAACAAAGTATAGAACTTTGGAGACTAGAAATTGAAAAAAATGGCGATCTTACATGTATAATTCCACAACAAGAAAATGACAAGGGTAGGCTTTTTGGATTTACAACTCCTCTTGGAAAAGAAGTTCTTCACGAAGCTACTATTATTCTTTTAGATTCAACCCATAGTATAAACAAACATAAGGATCTTTTATATACTTTTCTCTCACGTGATCCACAAACAGGAAAAGGAATCACACTTGCTCATTTAATATCCTCACGCAAAAATACAGAAACAGTACAATATTGGTTTTGTAATCTTCGTAACCAATTTCCTAATTGGCAAGGCCCTTTAGCATTTTTTGTTGATTGTGATCCGGCCCAAATTAAAGCTCTTAAATTGGAATTTCCAGAAAGTAAAATTATGCTATGTTGGTTTCATGTATCAAGAGCATGGAGAGAAAATGCTAACAAAATATACGAAGAAAAAAAATCAGTTTTAGGATCCGAAGAAAAAAAAAAATTAAAAGAAGAACTCCTTGATGATTTAAAGTTTCTTATGTATGCTGATAATATCAACATTGCTGAAGAAGCATTAATATCCTTTTTAGAAAAATGGAAAGATTCCATAGCTTTTATCACCTACTTTAAGCAAACCTGGTTAAATATAAATGAATATGATAATTTTTCTGGAGTAGAAAAAACTATGTGGATGAATGCATACCGAACTGATATTCCACATATGAATATTAATACTACCAACTTGCTGGAAGCATGGCATAAACGTCTCAAGTATAGTAATTTCGAAGGAAAAGTAAACCGACGTAGTGATGTTCTGATCTATGAATTATATGTTGTGATGGAAGGTAAAGTTATAAAATTATCATAATTTCGTAGTAAATCAGTTTTCATGTAATTTTATATAAAATTTAGAGATATGATAAAATGGCATTATGTATATGAATGCGCATTTTACTTATTTTTCAAATCCTGTGCATTAATACATATGATTTGGAATCATGTATATTAATGCGCACAATTTGAAATCATGTGCATGCATGAAACTTCTCTCTAGTAAAAATTACATGTGCTATAAGATTGTAACATCTATAACACAATCCTAATGAAAGGTGATGCCCGGCGCCAGCGACGGCTTGCAGATATTAGAGCTGGTAGGATGTTGCCAGCAGAAAAAGAAACCCGTCAAAGACAATTAAAGGGAGAACATTTGATGAACTCTACACTAAGAGACAATATAAATAAAAATTACTGGACCGTCAATTCTGAAACAATACAAGGAGTAAGATACTTAGTAGAGAGAAACATTAAGCATAATCAAATAGAACGCCAATTTTCCTGCCAATGTATAGATTTTAGATCACGCAATCTCCCTTGTAAGCATGTATATGCCGTTGTATTTCGCTATTTTTCAACACCCTCTCCAACAAATTCTAAAAATTCACAATCTACTGCTGATCAACAATCATGTTCTGATATTGAGGGGCAACCACCACAAGCTAATTTTGAGGAGCGACCACAATCTGGCATTAATGATCAACTACAAATCAATATTGAGAATCAATCACAATTCAATGCTGCTGAACAATCACAACCTAATACAACAGAACTCCCACAGCAAGCACAACTTACCACTGAAGATCTTATTTCTAACATTCAAAGCCTAACAAGAGCCCTTGATGACCTTGATATTAACCGATTACAAGTTGTTCACGACCAATTATCAAGAGTTATTAGTGATGTTCGAAGACAGGAAAGGAATTTTCAGAATGGTGACTGGGTAGGTGAAAACCAGCGGGTAAAATTCCCACCAAACATGGGGTTTAACAAACAACGAAGATAAATTTATGCTATAAAACCAAAAAGCTTCTGACCACGCTTATCTTTTATATTACGTAAATAGAAAGATAAATACCAATATATATAATTAAAAAAAAATTAAAAAAAGCTATGCTTTCGCTCAATAAAGAACAATTATTGCTTATTATTAGCTCAATTACCTTGCAACTTTTCCAGGTTTAGCCTTTAGAGTTACTTAGGCGCAGCATTTCAAAAACATAATCTGCCAAAATAGTTAAGAATGAACATTAATAAAATTATCTCTAAGGTAATTTATGATCTTGTAAGCTGCAATAGCTACTGCAGAACAAACAAGAACATAGAACAATTAATAAATTATTTCACGAGTTTGGTAAAACTTATTCCATTGCCAACTGTCTATAACGATATACTATCAGCTTATAATTTCAGCTTATAATTAAATATCTGATAATAAATTACACGTAAAAAGCTTTATTTATAATTTTAGATTCGCAGACTTAATATTTCTTTTGAAGCAGAGGCTTTCGTATTATAACCCATAAAAAATAAAAAAAAAATACGCGTCTGATCTTGATTTGTCTAATGAGGTGCGTCACTAGGAAAGATCGGTTTGTCTGGTCGGATTTCCG